CCCCCCAAAAAAAAAACCCCCCCCCCCCCCCCCCCCCCCCCCCCGCGAGTCTCACCAAATCCCCTTCCCTTGCAGGGCATGCTCTTGGTGAGCGCCGCCTGCCGATCCCACTTCTTCGCCACTTCCTCGAGCTTTCTCACGAAGGTAATCGGCTTTCCTTCGGCCAGCCAGTTCATCAGCCAGGGAGGTATGTTTCCGCCCGGGCTGAAGTGATGCACCATGGTGAATTCGGAGTGCTTCTTGTTCTTCGCCGCCTTGATGTGGAACACGCCGTGCAAAATCTCCCCGCGGACGTACTTTCCGCCTGCTGGGGCCTTTTGCAACCAGAGAGCGGCGGCGCGACAGCATCCAAAATAGAAAACGCCAGCGTATGTTAACAAAGCGCACATAGCATCGGTAGAGACCTACAATGAGCCAACTGCCAGGCTTTGGACAGATGGATACACACGACGCCGCTCTTCGAAAGCATGACCCACACGAGATAATATTTCTTCGAAAGAACGATATGCTTGTGCACGTATCGAACATGGTGCATATATCGACCATGACGATGTGCGTGTGAACGTATCGAAGACAATCGGGGGCAAGCCACAGGGAAACGAACGTGGGCGAATCAAGAACAACAGGAAACAATGGCGCTCAAACCCGCGTGACGATGAAACTGTCACCGCGCCCTACCTTGGGGTGAGAGGTAGCAGAGTTAACTATCGCCACGCTACCGTCCTCGAGGGTGGCCCTCTGGATGTGCGTCACAAAGTCTCGGGGGCGGCAGGGCCAGATTCCCATCGTCGCACTCCAAGACACCTTGTTGTCCCGGTCTATCACCTCAAGATCAATGCCATCCTCGACCAGAGGGTTGTACTGTAGATGCGGCAAGGGGTGGCAGGAACCGAGGTTAACGCTGACAGCAGAAAAAGTGGGCGCCGAGAGCATTCAAAGCAACGAGAAAGCGTTCTCTCGCAAAAAATCAACCGTGTTGTATTTGAATCTATCCACGAGCAGTCTACCGCTGCCGCAGTGAAGCACGGCCGGTAGCTGACGAGCTCAGTGCTTCGTTCACGTACCTCGCGAAAAAGTCTTGAAAATTGCACTAAAGAGACGCATGTCAGCACGCCTTTGACTTTGGCACCGGCAACAAAAAGCATTCCTGTGACACACGAGCGCAGAATGGCGTTGAGAGACACGCCAACAGGGCCGGTATCGGCTTCACGTCCCACCTGTCTGACGATCTCGATGTCGCCGGGCGTGAGGACCTCAAACAAAGCCTGCGGCGAAACCGCCAAGGACGCCTTGGACTTGATAGCAACAAAATCGCTGTTGGGCATAGATCTCTTCCACACCTGCACACCGCGTGGTCAGCAACAACGCATTCATCCCGCTTCAATATTGGACATGTTCCTTGAGCAGACTGTGCGTGTGTCAGCTGGTGTGTAAAATCGAAGAAGTTGCTAACCCGAAAAATGTGTTCACAATTTCCAACAAAACTAGCCTCCCTCCGCTGTTGTTGTAAAATTTCCTCCTTGGTGTGGGTTCTGGCGAGACTGTCAGGAACGTTCCTCAGAACGATGGCCTAAGTTAAAATCTGTTTCCTTATTCCGGAAAAAAAAATTGAGTCCGAATTTGTCTATTGTGCCGGTTGGGAGACGTGTTCCGCCGATTCGATCCACGGGAAGCGGATGCTTCCTGGCGCTGACCTCGCGGATGTCGCGTAGCGGGACGCCTCACAGGCACGTTCTGTGCCGTTTCTGAAGAACGAAAAAACGCGCAGACCGTGTCTCCAAGGAATTCCGTTGACGCAGGGTCCGCAAGGCCAGCGCCGGGGAGCGTTGGCTGCCCGTGGGATTCCCCACCAAAGTCTTGTTGTTGTTGTTGATGTTGTTGTCTTCACAGTAAAAGTCATTCCAAAGTCTGGCGAGAACTGTAAAACGGGTGCTGAAGTCAACAACCGCTCGATATGAGCAGCAAAGGAGGCCTCGCTAGACACACTGCTGTTCCGTCCGAGTTTGATCGTCTGATCGCCTCGGAGGAGCACTTGAAGTTTTTTTTTTCTGTATGGTAGACCGACCAAGAAACCTGGAGGGCTACGAACCACCGTCAAACTACCAGAAACTCAACCGCATCAGCAGCTTCAGCCAACTGCTTGATCCTCGTGTGGATGAGATCGATGAGATCACGACCAAACAGCACCAGGGCCCAAGCCGTCATCGCGGTAGTCCCTTTGGTATTGACGAGTGACGAGCGCCGTGGAGAGCGGGAGTTTTTCAGCAGGCTGAGGACGAGGATGCTGTGGCTCGGAGTGTCGGTGCTTCTCTTGCGGAGGCGCTTGGTGGCGGAGTTAAAGGCTCTGTGTAACTGATGCCCACCGATGTTGGGGGGGGTTCACTTATTTTGCCGTTTCGGGTGCCGGGAGTGCGAAGAAGATGGCTTCCAACACATCAACAACAAAAACCTGCCAAACTCCTGTCAAACCACACCATTTTGGTATGGACATGCTGTGCAACGGATGAAAGAAACTACGCGTTGTTATCAACACCATTTCCGACATTTTGGTCATTGAATTAGGAATTAGGTACATCACTCAGCGTGGGATGCTCAAGGGTGCTAATGGTCAAATGATGTTATGCCGTGCATGACACCTGGCTTGCGGTGAAAACAGGTGATTGTTGCTGTTGCCGTATACAGATGAGCGTGTCTCGTGTGATCTGGCGTTGTTTGTAGTTCGTCACGCTATTTCAGGCGTGCAAAGACATATCAATGCCAAGCGCCAAGCAGCCCGGCGCACGAGGGTCAAGGAGGGGGCCTCGGAAGCTCCCCCCTTACAACATGTGTGTGTACCAGGTTTGACAGCTGACACACCTGAACATGGCCGTCATCCCTAACCGGCTTCCAACCCCCATCACTAGTGTCCTCCAGTAGCCACGCAACGTCTTCCTTAACCTGTGAAAATGGTGGGCAGCATCAATCAATGGAGAGCACCGGCGGGCGGAAAGTTTGTGTACAGCAGTAGTATCATGAGAGCACACAAAGTCACATGAGAAGACGGGAAGGGAAAGAAAGGTGCCGAAACTCCCACGTTGAACACAGAATACCACAGGGACGTTCATGATTCATACACAGATACACAGCAGAACCTGGTGGAAACAGACCATGGGGCATCGGGCATCCTCATCCTCCCCATCACACACCGCAGTCCCACCTTCCCACGCTTGCCGCCCTTGCCGAATGGGACACCTCCGGACGGCTGGACCTCCTTGCTATTCGTACGTTTCCGCTTGAAGAGAGACGCACCAGTGGGACCCATGACCGTCAACAACAAAACAAGGCCTAGCACTAGCCTCGCTGCTGCTGCACTACCGTTCCATCGTCTCCTGGGTGTCGGCGCCATCTGCCGGAGTTTCCCCCAACAACTACTCGCGTCCGGTTGAGTGCTGGGGATACACCAAGCTGGATGCACAGAGAGGCCCCACCTCCACTGCAACCAGAGTCGGCCCCCTCTGATTGAAGAGGTGAAAGACAAGCCCTCCGTGGAATCTCGGAGCCGTGAAAACACCGACCAATAGAGATCCCCGGTCCCCTGCAGACGCTGCGTCGGAGTTAACCACGACAGGTGGCTCTGATACCTGATACCAGCACCGTGGTGAACGCGTGCTGCTGGTGCTGGTGCCTGCTCTCACCCGCCTTCGGGCCTCGTGGTCTAGGTCCTCCCCCCAAAAAAACAGCACCATCGTCCGTCCCCCTACAGAGAAATGGCAATGATGAGAGAGCACAGCACACTTGCTGTGCAGCAGGCAAACGCAAGGAACAGAGAGCGTGGTTGCACACGATGCTGCGACTAGGACGGCATGGCTCTACCCTTAAGGCCTGTTCTCTCCGTCAACCGGCAGCAGCTTACGCGAGAGCGACCAGACCGTCCTCAATTTGGCGAAGAGACCCGATCGTCCCGTCTGGACCGCACGACAACATCGTGCGCGGCATCACCACCAACACCTTCACCAACACCACCACCAACACCGAGCAGCAGCGATCAGTGGCCTTGTCCCGATGGATCCAGGCTGATCGGCGAAGAGGGCCGCATGTCGGGCCTGCACCAGCAGCGTCGGTGACGCAGCTGCAGCAGTGGAGAGGTCTGGCATCTGGCTCTAGTGGGAAGGGCAAGGGCGGAGAGGAGGAAGGGGGGATGTTTGATCGCCTCAAGAAGACCTTTACGGAGGAGATAGACAAGGTGAGCGCGGCGGCTGCTGCTGCTGCTGCTGCTACGATTGTGACCTCTGATTGTATTGTATTGTACTTTGCATCAGGGTTTGTACTGGTGTCTACAAAGGATGCAGAAGTAACAACCGCTGCTTGAATGGTACATGCTCTTCTGGAAGCGAACGGCAGCAGCACCACGCTGCGCGTTGCAGTACAGCAGTAGTACGACTGTACTGTAGCACACCTACAGTGCACCTCACCTCACTTCGAGTCTTCCCTACCGGACAACAAAGACGTGAAAAACTCGTGTTCTGGTCCTATGTTGGGATTTTGCAGTACAGCAGAGTGGGGGTGAGGACGAGACGGCTGATTCGGCGTTCGCGCCTGACGTAGCAAGTAACATGTGGAAAATGGTCCACCCCTTGACGTTCAGCCCCTTCCAGAAATTATGCAACAAAGCCTGTTGTATTGTACCCGCAAAGGCGCGATCAACGAGCAACGTACGATATGTCGCCGAAGATCCTTCAAACCTTGACATCGACTTCGTCGCCTCAAGGTGTCGCTCACCGAATATAATCTTTCAAGCCTGTACTACTGCTGTACTTGAAAAAATATCGGGCGGCGTCATTGAACCTTCACTTACAACGACATCCATCCCCTGCCAATCCGTCGATCGAATCACTTCGCAGAACCCGAGCCTGAAGGAGAGCCTGTCCAAGCTTAAGGATGCGGAGCAGAAGCTCAGGGAAAACCCTAGCGTTAAGGAGAACCTAGCTAAGCTCAAGGAGGCCGAGAAGAAGTTTCGGGAAAACCCCAGCGTCCAGGAAAATTTGTCCAAGCTCAAGGATGCGGAGAAGAAGTGGAGAGAGGACGCAAAGAGCAAGCAGGTGCATGTATGTTGCTATTTAGCGCCGCCGGAGGTCAGCGTGACTCCTTTCGGCGTGGTTGGACGCACACGGGCCGAGGATACATAGAAGGAATGAAGGACACACGTTTTTTTGGGTTTTTTTCTGTTCCAACGTTTCGCGGATTGGAGGCAGAAATGCTGTGATCCCTGTTTTTTGAGTGGTTGGAAAAAAAATAGTAGAAAATTGACTCGATGAAGCGGTCATGTCGGTATTGTATGAAGCTGGCTGGCGTCAATCCCTCACGTGGTATGCATATTTGACTTCGGAGTGATTTATGCTGATCGGAGGACGGGGGGCGACGCCTGTCCGACTGCGCAATCTCGTGTTCTTAGAAGCTTATCATTTTTCTTGCTGTCGTCACTCCCATGCGTTTGTTCTGCAACCGCCGTTGTGTGTGCCTGGGGGGTGGGTGATACATTTCCCCCCGCAGGGTGAGTTTGCCGAGCAGGCGGAGAAGGCGAGGGAAAAGGCACAGCAAGGCGGAGGAGCTTTCCAGGAAAAGTTCCAAGAGCTGAAACAAACGTGAGCTAGCTATCGTTGTAGGTAGTAGATAGATGCTTAGGAAAGAAATCCCGTGGCCGCAGGAAAAGCTTGCAGTCTCAAGAAGCGATATGTAGGTGTTAAAACGAATGCTAACCCTAAACCTCTACCAAACATTTTGAGACATGCGAACCTTCACCTAAGGGCTATAAATAGCTGTGTCCTAAATCTACCCAAACATCGCATCGGGCTGGAGCACTCGTGCAACTGGGAACACAGGCAACACGCATGAAACCCGTTTGATGCCTCATCGTCCGCCCCGTCTCCCCCTTGGTTGTGTGCCCCCGCCAGGCTCGAAGAAAAGCTGGGAAAGGTGGGCGGGGAGAGCGGCGACGGGAAGGACGGCGGCGAAGGAAAAGACGGCGCGGAGAACGAGTTCGTGCGGGCCTCGAAGGAGAAGTTCTCGGGGGCACAGAAGGCGCTAGACGAAAATTCGCTGTTCTCCAAGCTGAGGTGCGATTTCAATCGTTGGGAGGCTTGGGTTACGCAGACTCTGGTGCTGGTAGGAACGGACTGCTTTGGTTGCGCGACAAAATGGCAGTATTGTACGGGCGCCGTGTGCTGTGCGTGTGGATTGGTCGAGCGAATGATATGAAAATAGTTGTATCAGGCTGCCCGGCGCGGGGAGGGAGAGTTCTGTGGAATGCGGGCGGTCCGCACGCACGTTCCTTGGGGCGGCACCACACGCGACCCTCGATCTTCGATCACCCAGGCCTATCAATAGTGCTGTGCTGTTGATGGAAATGTCGGCTGTGTGGTGACGCCGAGTTGAAAAAAAGTTTCCAAGCCCAGGTACGTTCGTTCAACCTGTAGCAGCCAAGCGTCGTCCGACCGTACGGAGAATGGAGGGCGGTGTCAGCGGATGTGTCTTTTCTATTAACATCGACCGCGCTAGCCGGTGACGAATGAAAAGACGTCAGTCTCAGTGCGGTGGAAAACACAACACAAAATTCTTCTATCGGCCACGATCTGGGACCCCGTGAACGAGCGTCATGGGGGAGTCTACGCTTCTCTCCGGAGTAAAGACAGATACTGCTGCAGTAACAGAAGAAAACTGGATGTGTGTGTGTGTGTGTGGTGTGTGTCTGTTTTCGCGGGTGTGTATTGCTTTCCGCGGAGGTGGTGACCCCGCCCCCGTTTACCGCAGAGGCAGCGGCTCTCGGACAAGTTTCTACCCGGGGTTTAACTCAATCGATTTGCATGACGGGAAAGCTTGACGTGAATGAGACGGGGGTTGTTCGCTAACACCGTTCTGCATGCTGTAGCTGCTGCTTACGTCGTACCGTCGTCTCGCGCTCTGCGCGGCAGGGTCAAGACCCAGGCTTTCCGAGAAGCCGTGGCGGGCGCTTCTTCCGAGCTGTTCCCTTCGGAAGGACAGAAGGCGGAGAGCGCGGTGGTGAAGAAGCTCAAGCAGCCCAAGAAGGAAAAGAAGAAGAAGAAGAAGAAAAAGGACGGCAAGGAGAAGGCCCCGGTAGAGGGAGAGGACGACGAGGAGGAGGAGGAGGAGGAGGAAGAGAAGGGGGGAATGGGAAGCCTGATGATCGTCAAGACGGCGGGAGAGGCGTGGGAACGACTGCAAGAGAGGCTCAAGGAGTCCCCCATCATCCAGGTCAGAGAACTTCTGGTTGCCTGGCCACCACGTCCCCGCCTTAAACACAGAAATAGACGTTCAGAGTATTGGTAAGTGGAGAGGGGTTCAGAAAATATCGCAGGGATGAAACTAGCGACGAGCGCAATGGACCGAAGACAGAGAGTAACGACCGCAGGAGGAAGCTCGGCATGGTGTGTTGTGTGTTTGCTTGTGAGCATCTGAACCCGGAGACTGGACCCCTGTCGTCCAACCTCCGCCGCGGCCGTCCTGTCGGGGGAGCCGCGGACCAGAAGACCGTTTCGCTGTTGTTGTCCCGCGATATCAGACCGACGTCTTTCCATTGGCCGGTCGGTGGCCGCTGCCCATGCTGCTAGGTAAAAGGTTTCAACATAAGAGACACACACCTGATTGTGCGGGCGTACACAAGGGGATCGGTATCCCCGAGACTTAGCGATCGAGCACACTAGACGGCTGCAGTGCCTCGCGCACCGACAAGAGACGGCGCGGACGGACGGCTTGCTCGCGCGCATTCACGACCGATTCGTTTAACCTCTCGCCTCGCTCGGAACCCGGGTTGGTCTCGCAGGACCTGCTGGGAGCTTCTAGAGTTGTGGCCTCGGGGTCGCTGGGACAGGGGGCCAAGTCTGCGAAGGACACTGTGAAGGACAAGGTGGAGGACGTTCAGGAAGCCTGGGAGACCAGCCAGGTGAGCAGTCGGGGGAGGTTTCCCGTGCCCCGGTTCGGCGTACCGCCCTTTGCGTGTCGTCGTCGTCGTCGTCGCCTAGATGGTATACCTCGTGCGTGATACTGTATAATACGCCCGGTATTTCACGGCGCCCCTCTCTATGAAAGCACTGGGAGCACGGGCGTTGCGAGCGACAGAGGCTCAGCGGGTCGCTTGGGTCAACTTTGTTTTGGCGACGGAGGCCTGGTCAAGCCAATAGCGCTCCCCTTTCTGTCGTGTTCACGCGATGCTCTTTCGCCCAATAAATTGGCCCACGTTTTTTGTCGCGCAGCACCCCCTGGTGTACAAACTGTCCTCGGCGTGGGATAGCTTGACGGCGGAGAGTGATGAGGGGATAGGGGTGAGGGAGCTCCGGCGGCTTGACCCGTCGTTCAGCGTGGAGGACTGGAAGAGAGACATCCAGGAGCTGTTCCTGCCGGAGTTCATGTCCGCCTTCTTGAGAGTGAGACTCGAAAATTGACTCGAAAATTGACTCAATTTTCCTTTTTTTGATTTTTTGGTCTTTATTGTTGTCGTCGGTTCGACGTACAAATCACGTACGCGCGAAGACGGAAATTTCGAAGAAATGAGAATGGTACAGAGACGAGTCAGGGTAGGGTGGGGAAATAGGTCGGAAGGAGAGAGAGCCCGTCGCCCAAACTCGGAGGCTGTGTTTCAGTACGAAACTCTGCCGTGGGAGCACAACTAGAAGACATACATATGTGCGCTCCCGAATAAGCTATCTATGCCCCCCCTAAGATGGCTTGCCGCAGACACGGGCCAATGGTCAACTGCGGATGACTCTTTCAAGAGTGTTGATATAGTGCGACACACGAAACAGTCAACCTCTGTGTGTGCAGTGACAAATATTTTGAATGAGGTGTGACAAAGGTTGTGACGGTTGTCGAAGGCGAAAAACGCGTGGATGGATTCTACTTTCCGGCGGTTGTCTCTCTCCCAGACATGGAGCCAAAATAGAGAAAGTGAAAGGGATGAAGCCGCCCTTTCGTGCCTCAGTTTAGCGGCATAGGCTCTCTTCTGAGCGTGTGGTGGCAAGCCACACGCGCGACACTCTCTCGTCTGATGGGTCCAGGCCTGAGGATCATGAGCCTCAGGGGACGCACTCGCCTGCAGCAATACCAACTGCTGCAACGTTTTTTTGTCCATTTTGTCAGGGTAGCTTCTCCGGCCTAACCTACTTTTACCAACGTTTTTCCGACATGCCGGTGTTGTTGATCCCCAGGGCGACGTTAAGTTGCTAAAACAGTGGACGGGGGAGGCGTGCTACAACAAACTTGCGTCCGAGGCTAAGCAACGAAAAGCCGACGGCATGGTCTTGGTGAGATATCGCTTTTTTTAACAGGCATTTTTTTGTGGGGGTCAGATGTGTTGTGGGAGTTCTCCAGTAAACGGACAACGCGGCTGCATGTTTACAACGTTGATCTATACCGGACCATCTCGCCGATGACTGCGTGAAGCGTGGGTCACATTCGATGACCTGCCGGGGCGGCGTATCGTGAACGACAGCTCGACATTTGTAGGATTGGTCATGTGCTGCTTGCTGGCTTCTGGCGACCGAGGGATGCGTTGTTATTTTTGTTAGCCTCGAGACGACACGAGAATGACGAAGGGCGATCGAATCTTGGAAAACGTGGCAATTCCAGCGTCCCCTGTTCGGTGTAGTTTGTTTTTTTTGGCACACCTCTTGGTCTCGTACTATGTGTGTGTAGCGGTTTGCCGTTCGGAGTATAAATCAGATATCGTTTAGTTTCTGCACGGGGTGCTCGATGTCGTTCTTCGCCTATAGACTCTTGTGTTTTTTGTCGTTTGTGTGTCTGGAACTGCGCGGGTGGTTGGGCAACCTTGATTTTCCGATGATGGTACGAACTGCCTGGGTTTGATGGTCGCTCACAATTTTGACGGTTGCTTGCAATTTCGACGCCTCTTTTGTGCTTTTCGACGCGCAGGACCCGCACGTACTGGACATCCGGCAGGGGGAGGTGCTGGCCATCAAGGCGGACGCCGGGAAGGCCAACCCTACGATCGCGTTGCAGTTCATGTGCCAGCAGATCAACTGCGTCCGCAATAAGTGAGAGCTGTTTGCGGTGTATGGCACCCGCATGTCCTTTTTGGGCGGCCTTTCGATGACCTCCTGCTGTGAATCAATGGGATGACACAAGACAGCTTCCCCGCGTGATCCTCCCTCACGGGCCCCCCAGATCTTGGAATTTAGAAGCGTTTCCCTTTTTTACCCGCACTGAGACAGACGTATTTTGATTGGTCAGCCGGTTGATCCTAGAAATGAACACACACAACACACACACACGCACGTTAGGTGGTAGCTTGAGTGAGCTTGTCGCTACTTGTCTTGCGTCGTGGCAGAATAAAAGAGTACAGCTGTTCGACACGATACCATGGCGGCGCCAGACAATAGTGTTCGATTCGAGACTTACTCGTCAACGAAACGAGAGAGCCTCCTTAACAGTATTTTCGGTGCCGTGTTGCCCAGATGGCGTACGCATCACAAGACGTTTATTCCGAACCAAGGCGGTGTAATCCACACGTTTGATTGGCCCCTCTCTCGTTTTTTACCCCTGTCCCCGGTTTCGGACATCCGCGGTGTGTCTTCGGCGTGACGGTCCTCCGTCGCCCGCGGCAAGCAGAAAGGGCGAGATTCTGGAAGGTGCCGAGGACGACATCCGCGCGACGTACTACATCCTGGCGTTCCAGAGGGAGTTTAACGACGACGAGGCCGAGCTGAGGTGGAGAGTGGTGGACATGATGGTCGTTGGAGGTGGGTGAAGCGACTGCTCTGGTTTGGGTGTGTTGGGTACGCCGGCTTCTTGGTAGTCGTTTTCGTTTCTGTTTGCGCGTACAGCAGTCTTGGCACACCCGCGTATCGGAGGGCGGGTGGTGTTTGGTTGGTGTTCGGGTCAGTTGGCTGCGGCAGCCGTAGCAAGACACGTGAACGACCCTCCAGGGAGGTGCACAGAAGGGTAGCGGGTGTGGCCATGGCCAAGAGGAAAAGGCAACAACTTTTTCGAGCCTTTTGTCCTTGAAACGTAGCAAAGCTCCATTCCGTACCTTCGCTCTGTACGATTGTTGTCGTGTTCTTGGTTGGTTGCCGTGAAGCAGCGCTTAAGGCGGTTCTTCTTCCTCCCTTCACCTCCGGGACCGTTCCTGAATCGCTTTTCCGCTTGCCCCTCTGCTGCCTCCGCGTGCTGTTCTGCGATGTTTTGCCGACAAACTTCTCTGTGTGCCACGTACAGCCTTCCCGTGGTACTAGGGGGCTACGTTGCAATGTTAGCGGAGGCCGCACAGAGAAGTCGCGACTGTCGTGATGACGTAGGTATATAGATAACACACACACTCGGTATGGCAGCGTGAGTTCGGCAAATCCGTGGTACGACATGTGCGAGAAGGGAACGGCATTCCCAAGGTCGTGGTGAAGAGCTGCATAGTCGTCGGGGGGCGAAGCGCGGATGGAATTCGTTGGTTCGGAGTCACGCGGCGGCGACGGCAGTTGGTAGCTCGCGGCACATGGGGTCATGACTCCGGAGTCGCGACGCGACGCTTAAAAAAGTCTCCCCCAAACCAACAACCCCTTTTGGATGGCGTGGTCGATTGCAAGAGAGGGCCGTGGCCTCACAAGTAAGAGAGAACCTACCCATTTGTGGGAAGGGGAGCAACGTGCCCATGTGCAGCAGCTTTCATTGGAATATTTTGTGATGTTGCTGCGTGTCTGTGGTAATGTGCCCGAGTCAGGCATTTGCTTGCAGGTTGGAGGTGGTCCAATTACAACCACATCAGTGCGATCTTGACGGTGGTCTGGAAGTGTCTTCGTAACACTGCGAGTACGCTGTCGGCCATCAGGACTGCCGTATGTTCGTCACATTGCCCGTTGCCATGTCGCCTGTCATTGGAGGGGGGGGGGCGGAGAACATGATCAAACCACGCTCAGCTGTTCCAGCCCGCCCTTTCGCAGAGCAGTCTGCAACTGGTGAACACAACTCGATCTTGGCTCACGCCTGAACCTCTACCTCGTAACGGAAGCGTCAAAATCAACGCAACAGGCCAGCGTTATAACACCCATGCGATGACCCAGTTGTTGGTAGATGAAATGCGACAAGATCGAAGCAAGGCGCGTCCCACGCCACGACGTGTGTACGGGTTCACGCAGGCATATCTACAGACTTCATCGAATCTGCTGCATTTATTTATCTCCCCCTGCTGCTAAATACATACACCTCAAACATGAACAGAAAGTCATGCTGGCGCTCAAGAATGGAACTTATTATGTAGGGTGAAGACACGCACACGAAAACATGTTGAAGCTATTAGAGTTACAAGCCCAATCGCAGACAACGAGATCGGAAAGGGAGTAGACTAGTCAACTTCACTGCAGAACATGCCAGAGTTTTTTTTTTTATGTTGTGTTGCGGTATATTCTCCTCTTGCAAGTACTCTGAAGAATCCGGAGACTGTACCCTCTCGTCCAACCTCCTCCGAGCTCCCCCGGCCACGTTGTGTCCACATTTCCCGCGGCAATGGTTGCGGTTGTCTTCACATTGAAAGCCGCTCCGATCTCCCCACCCAGGTACTTCCATCTCCCCGTGCTGATCAAACACTTGACCGATCGATTCCCCTCGTGGTCACAGGCTAACTTACCTAAAATCTGTCCCGAAACAGCGTTGATTCAATAATAATTTGCGAAGGAGGTTCAAAACACGAAGAAACGGCCGAGTAATAAGTTTTCGTCCTACCTTGCTGGGGTCTTTGTTTGGTGCGAGTTGTTCTCTAGGGCGGGGGGAGAGAACAGAACAATGATGCAATTAATTGGGTCGACCCTTTTGAGAGAGGAGAGATAGATGCAAACAAGAAGATAGTCTGGTCTTGGTGCGATGATGGTAGTCAGTCGCCCACGGTCAAATTGTCAAACTCAAATTTTTGAATCTAGCCCAGGGAGAAGTGGCTTCTCGGCCGTGGAGGACGTCATCGGCCGACCACGATTTTTTCGCCGTTCTTCGGAACGGTCCTGGCAAAAAGATTGACCGATAAGAAAGCTGCGGGCACCTTTTCTCTCTCTTCCCGTCAAGTCTAATACCATCACGACCCTCGACCCGTCGGCGCAACAAGCAAGCCTGTGTTTTTCTCTTTCGCTCATCGCCCACGTACCTCCCGTTCATGTTCACACGGTCCCCCCCTCCAGCTGAAGAGTTCCGATCTTTGGGACACGGGGGATAACTACTCTGCGGTGCACCCATTGAACCCTCATCCCGTTAAACTGTGAAGGAGTGGCACAACTGGTTCAGAATGTATGTAGCAAACGGAACTGTTTCGCAGAACGGGCTCAAATTAAATCGAAATTGCTGGGGTTCGCATCGATCGATCGGCCGAACAGCCGTCCTACAGATCAGAGAAACCGCATAGCGCGATGTTGAAAATCCTGAGTCAGAAGAGCAACATGCGGTCCTTCTCAAAAAACGTGGTTTCTTTCTTCATTGTTAAAAACGCACGGTGTACATCAACAAACAATGCGCTGGACGAAGACTGCATCAACTCTCCTTTCATTGTTACAACAAACGGTCGCAAGAACCTTACAGGACAGCTTACTCAATGTTTTCCGACATAGATTCGACAAAGAGTCTTGCGATCAGACCACATCACAACGTGCAGTTCAGAATTTGGCACAAGACAACACATCCACATGAGACAAATGGCAATAGTTTTCCCGGGTCAACATGGGCCCAAAACATTAAACTACCCTCCGCCGTATACAATTGTAGGACGACATAATACGAAGATGCCACACACACCACGTTGAGACACACCCGGTGAATCTTTCTACAAACAAAATTGTTTTCAACACCGTGGGGGGTTTTCTTAAGCCGCATACGTACGACTATCGGAACCACAAACAAACATTCGAGCGCATTTAAAAACAACAATTTCGGGGTTTGTGCCCCCCCGGCAAAACACGCCAACGCAACACATCATACAAGAAGAGCCGCATTTTCTCCTTCCCCGGAACGGAACACTTCTTCGACATGGACCACTTCTTCTTCTTCTTCTTCTTGTGAAGAATCTCTTTCGCGGGAGCGGCATTTCCCTCCCCCAAGCCTGCCCATTTCCACGTCCATCAACTGGGGAGAACGGGATCGCCCTTGCCGCACGTCGCCGCCGCCGTCGCCATCGCCGCTGTGGCTGTTGCCCCCGGAGGATAGGCCATGGTGCTGCTCGCCGGCGTCGACGTTTCCGGCATCGCTGTCGGTGTACTGCACCCCCGGAACGCTAGCGACCTCTTCCTCCTGGTGCTTCGCGAAGCTCATGAAGATGGTCTCTAGCGTCGCCTGACTGATGGAGTAGTCCCACACCTACAGAACAGCGGAAGCGGGGGAGTGCGAAAAAAAAAGTACGATCATTCTGCTTTCTTGGTCCCGGCGGGTGAAAGACTTAATGAGAGCAACTTGATTTCGTAATATTCCGTCCATCAAACCGAGGATAACACAAAAAAATATGTTCTCACCTGGAGTTCGGTCTTTCTAGACTCGATGGTCTCGAACGCCTTGGACAGACTTAGCCCCCCCGTCGCCACTTCCCCTGTTACCCCTTCGCCGAAGCCGGTTCTGGCGGGGGGTCGATCGCCAAGCTCTCCCGCCGCCGGCACGCTGAACTTTGCCAGCGAGGGGTGCATCTCGTCGAGCCTCGCCAGAGGGGACAGGGCCCCGACCATCTCGGTCACTTTCGGCATGGACTCCGAGGGACAGCGCACCTGCAGAGATTACGTGTATACAGGCACAGGCTTAAGAGTGGGACATCGGAGCTACAGAGATAACATTCGTTTCCAAACACAGGTTTACATAGCGTGGGACAGCGCACCTGCAAAGATCGCGTATCCCAAGCACAGGTTATGCGGTACCCGTTATCGATACCAGGACTAGTGTAAATGTTGCGACAAAAAGGGACCTGCAGAGACAACGGAGACGGGCGTGGTGGGCCTGGTTCAGCGATCCCGTCGTTGTTATTCAGGGTAGGTCGCTATCGCCGGGATAGCGGCGATTAGTTGGGGTGCAGCAGTCGTGCCACGCAATGTTGTGGTCGCTATATGGGGCCGGCCGCTTAGCAGGGGATCGCCACTCCGGGCCCACCGCTGTTGTAGAGTCAGGCGGGCTCCAGAAAAGGGCCAGGATGGACGCAAGTGCTGTAAATTCAGGGTTAGGGGAGAATGGGTATGGGTCGACGGTATGCATGCAGTACAAAAGCGCCGGACGTCTTGTTTCGTTCTGCCTTTAAACCTGAGCTTGCCTCCTGGACTTGAAAAATATTCATCGTGGAAGAGGTGAAGGATGTTGCTGTTGCTGCCGCCGTGGCTGTTGCTGTTGCTGTCGCTGTTGTCACCCCATGCGATTTTTTTTTTTTTTTTTTTTTTTGTTCTTCACTTCAAATCAGCGCTCACAGCACTAGTGCCGTTTATTCCGACCCGTGGTCACACAGAAGAGCCTCTCTCTACCCTCCCCTCCTGCGGTACTTCGCCTTCAATTTTTAACGCGACAAGAGTTCAGCACTCTCTTCCCTCTGTGTACACACGAACTAGCGCTATCCACTTGGCCAAGAGCGGAAGCGAGAGAAAAACTCACTTTGCAAGAAAAGCTCGCCTACGCCGGGGTTCGAACCCCTGACCTGACCTCTAGAAGGTTACGAGGCTACCAAGTAGACCACCGGGGCGACCGGCTAATGGTGACCCCATACGATGGAGCGGGTGAAAGTCAGGTTTGCCATGCGTGCATAATCGAAGGCTTGCTACGACACCCACCTCGATAGAGTAGCCACCCCCGAACCGCCCCTTGAGATGCTGAGAAGTGCCGATGCAGCGCAGCCTCCCGCCGACCATGATGCCAAGCCTGTCGCACACTGCCTCGCACTCCTCCATGCTGTGGGTCGTCACTATGACGCTGCGAGACCGCGACAGAGAAGAAATCACCTCCCACATTGACCTGTGGGCGGCAAGAGGATGAGGCGAGCACCATGAGTGTCAAGAGCACGTGGCGGAGGGAAAGAAGCCAACGAGGGAGCAGCGGCGAGGGGAGACAGAGAGAACAGAGGCAGGCACATAGACGGACGCGGGAGGGTTTGGCCCGAGTACATGGCGATTATCGTGACAGACACGAGCGTGACACGTCGAACGTGCAGACACAGCCATGGCGGAGTCAAAGTGCACACGGACACCCAAAGAGAGGGCAAGCCGCGGCCCTGAAATCAACGAGCCGGACAACAGGGTTTGAGCGTTTGTGCAACGCCTCAAAAAAAAAATCCGCGTGGGGGCCCTCTGGCAAGACCGAACCCGCGAGGATACGACTGCACCTCGAGACTGCTGTGCCGAGGGCGTGACCAGCAACACGTTTTGCGCAACACAAAAACAATACTCCGGTCGAACATCGCACGCAGCAGCAGTATAATAGTCCAAAAAACAAACCCATCACCTTCGTGCCCCGGGATCCATCCCAGACGACGGCTCATCCAACAGCAACACGGGCGGTCCGCCAATCAGCGCCACCGCCAGCGACAGCTTTCGCTTGTTGCCGCCGCTCAGTGTCCCCGCTGTTTGGTTCTCCGTGGGGCCCAGGCTCACGGCGGACATCGTCGCCGCCGCCGCTTCGTGGAGGGCAGTCTCGCGCTCGTCGTCGTCTTCAAAAACGGCGGCAAAAATGATTTTCCGTGGTGCGTAACAGCGGGCATCGGTGGGGTGCCCAAGGTAGGATACACGGTGGGAATGTCAAGCTAAACAGGGGGGGGGGGGGGGTGTACTCATAGTCGTGCATGCCGTAGTCGTTTGACCATTGACCTCGCATCCCTACAAAGCCGGGACGGAGCACGCCGGGTTCTCACCGGACCAGGCTCTCACATCACCAAGCGCGAAGCGCCGTGAGGTATTTGGCGAGTCGCATGAAGGGTGAGCTGCATCCTGCTAAGGGTGTTCGGCATCTTGTGCTTACTTCCTTGCGTACGGATGACAGCTACGTATGACTTAATTTATTTTCTGGTGCTTTCACTTCCAGAGACAGTTGTAAGCACTGTGTAACTGCCTCGAGGAAGCTTGACCATTTTAACACAACGTGGTGCGATCATCCCCCGTTGCGCGGAGTGAGGTTTCTCGACCCCGCACAACATGATCTACTCGACCACCATTATGGTTACCGCCAAAAAAAAAAACGAGGTAAGAAAAAAAAAACGGTAACCTGGTTGCCGAGTTCACGAAGTGAATTGGCTTGTTTTACAACGTCGTTGCCAAGCGACGAAAACCCAATCCCGATGGCAAACACCGAGTGGGGGGCTTGTTTTACAACGTCGTTGCCAAGCGACGAAAACCCAAACCCCGATGGCAAACACCGGGGGGGGGGGCGGCTTGTTTTACAACGTCGTTGCCCAAGCGACGAAAACCCAACCCCGATGGCAAACACCGGGGGGCCGGGGGGGCGTCATTGCATCTTGACAGAGGCTGGTTTTGGACGGAATGTACGAGAATCGTGCATAGCTCTTGCATGCGATCAACCTACGGTGTGTGGTTAGCCTACATCACATCTAACACGCGCGACCCTCGCCCCCTTGCTCCCGCGCAGGAACAATGTAACGATGCACGACACATTTTGGGCCAATGCTCAAAAAAGAGGCACAAAGTGCTCAACATTGTCAACATCACCCAGCACGAATCGCACTCATCTCCTGAACGGTGAACCGCTAGTTGGAAAAAACAAGGAATCACGTATGGTGTACAGCAGCTTCCTCCGATCTGTTGGATAAACCCAGACAAACCTGCTATGCATACCAGGTGTAAAGCCTTATCCTGCACAGTAGCGGCTACGGTCCCAGGACAGGCCAAAAACACTCTCATTAACCCGGTTTCGTTTCAACCTAAATACGTAAAATATTTTTATGTTATTTCGCGGCCGGGACAACCCTGTTCACTCTGACAAATCCGTACTTTCTCCTAAAATTACCCCTACTGAACAGTAGGCGCTGCTGCCGTATAGGTACATGATTCTACCATTTTTCGCCGCCGCCCGCGACGCGACGATGCGGCTGCAAGCGAGCGGCGAGCGCGCGTTTTCTCACCCATCATCTCGGACCCGATCCCCTTTAGACCTCCGTAGAACAGGAGGGTCTCGTGCACGGTCATGAGGGGAAGGAGGGGGTCCGTCTGGGGGCAGTAGCCGACAAGCCGGCAAACCGCGCTGTTTCACGTGAAACGGTACGTGCAGGTGTCCGGTAGGGCGGGCGGGCGGGGGGGTCCACGCGCGCGCAAAGAGTTTGTTTCGTTTCTTACTATTTCCAACAGGAATAATCCATCCTTATCCTCAGATGAGAGTCCAGGATACACCAGAAATGAATCCATCGCGTTGTAGCGGAATAATTACCAGTGTTGGACGCTAGCAACAACGACAAGATGCGGGTCGATCTATGGGGTGACGCGGACCGGAATCCGTCGCGATACGTACCAGTCAGCAGAAAGAGATAACCAGAGGGGGACACCAACTAAATGAAACCACAGACATAAAGTACCCTTGCGGTTCGGAGCATACGGCAGCAAATGAAGCGGTTTCTAGAGTGGGAATCGCGTCTCGCGAAACGGAATCGGAAGCAGCGCACACAGAAACCCGCCCCATAGCTCTCTCCGCGCCGCGTAGACATGCACATTATCCCGCACCAAGCACACGCCCTGCGCTTTGCGTCAATCAATCAAAGCAAGCACCTCGAGGTGATGGGCTTTCCCTCCACGGTGAGCTTCCCGGCCGTCGCTTGCAGGTCTCTCGTCAGGATCTGCAGCGTCGTCGACTTGCCGGCACCATTGATGCCTGCCATTGCGTCGTAACGGGGACGTTTTGCGTACGAACGTCGCCGGCATTGCCCAACGGCATTGCCCAACGGGAGGAGATTCAGCGAGTTGGTTGGCTCAGGGGAAGGAGAAGCTGCGAATGGGCCAAAATTGACGCGCTACAGTAGTTGGTTGGCTGAAAGAAAGGAGAGCGCCACCGAGCGGAGGAAAAAAAGGGAGCGCGTGGCTGTCAGGGGGCCGGTAGGCTCAAAATAAGGCAACAACAGTCGGGGACAAGGTTAAATTTGTCAAAAACGTGTCTCACTCCGTTGCTGCAGCAAAGTTGGCCCCCCTTTCTTGTTTCGGGTACAAACTGAGCAAGAATCGCAAACATCTGCGGGTCGTTTTCTTGGAGACGGGCGCTACTTGCCGGGGCTAAGACGAGAGAACAACGGGAGCGGCGGTGCCCCGTCGATGAGTGCTCACACCGCGTTGGCGGCTCCGCTTAAAAGCGCGTACGTGCACAGGAGGAGAGACACTGCTCGGTTGCTCTCGGTCTCTCGACCTCAAGAGTCTCCGAAAAAGAGCTGCCGCCGGACAAAAAAAGGATGCCAAGAGCCACACCTATTAGGCGAACCTCTCAAGATCAGGGAAAACAAACCCCTTACTTTTGGGGGGGCACGGGTCTATAGGCAAATACCAAAGGTGACGACTCATGTAAGCGCGTCTAGTTCGTGTGGGTGTTCCACCTAAACGCGGAGGCGCTACTCGCCTAGCAGCCCGAAGCACTCCCCCCGCTTCACGCCGAGACTCAGGCCCCTCACGGCGCACTTGGGCCGCTGCTGGGCGGAACTCAGGGGGGCCGGGTACACCTGCAGAAAAAAATGAAAAAGACGTTAAAGATGTCAACGTACATGCAGCAGCACGCAAGTACGACAGCATGTGCATCGAAGGGGGGGGTGGTCACCGACCGCAGGCGAAGCTCTCGGACGGGAAATAGCGAGCACGTAACGAAAATTTGCAGAAACATTTCCCCCCGAGATGTAGGACAAGCTCCCACGCGCAATGTTTGCGTAGAAGCGATGACCTTGTCCCTCTACACACGCGCCGGTCTGTCTTGTGACCGAGGACAACGAAGTCTGTCGGTCGCGAAAAATAGACGATCGCAACTAAGGCCTGGAACAACGATACCGACGAGAACAACCCCTGCCGCCATCATCGCGTTGACATCTCTCTCCCTGCTCAAACGCCCTATACACAGCAGCAGCTGCGGTAGCAGAAATAAACCCACAGCCACGCAAGGTAGTATAGTATAGTATAGTATAGTATAGTAGCGATCACCACCACCCCGGAACACCACGGAAAGATGCCTGTAGCTCTCACAAGCATCGCTTCCCACCTTCGTGAGGTCGCTTATGAGCACCGTGTCTACCTCCTCCTCCTCCTCCTCCTGCTCCTGCTCGCCCACCACCACCCCGCCCCCCGATGCCCTGGCCATGGCCCTGCAGACCTTATCCCTCTCCTCCTTGACGTCTTTGTCCTCGCCAGGTCCCCTCGAGGCGCGGAGCATTTCGATCAAGTCGCGGTCCGACCACCCCCCCAGCCACAGCCTCAGGCGGTCCGCGTAGGCCCTTACCCCTGCGGCAGGGCTGTACTCCACCACGAGCACCTTCGGCGATTCGTTCGATTGGAAGGGTCCACGCAGGTGGGGGGGGGGGGGGGGGGG